TGCCTGAAAATGATGCAGAACATGAAGGTAATAATTGTACTTCTGGGGTTACATGATTATTAGTCAAAATTATTTTAAGAAGCTTGTGAGTGTTCATGCATAATTTGGGTTGTTTGCATTAGATTTCTTATATTGTATACTATGTCAATATTTGCATGTTTAGATGTGTATATATATTTTTTATAGTCTTGGAGATTTATCAAGATTTAAACTCACAATTTTATGAGTTATAATCCAACTCCTTACCACTGTACTAACATTGGTCGACATACGTATATGTATTTGCGCGTGTGCGCATCAGTTTAAGTATGTCCCTTGTGATTTGTGAAACCAGTGGGTGAGGGCCTTACTTCCTGTTGACGACGAAGACTTCATTTGGGCCTGGGAGATAAGGTCCACATAAATTGGGTTGTACATTGTACGATGGGGCCCAATTAGTGTACCAATAAGCTTAAAATGGCCCGTCCCCCCCCTCAAAAAAAAAACCCGTTTTTTGGGGTAATATAAAATGCAAATTTGCGTGGTCAACTTCTAACTTGAAATGTATAGTAGCCCAGCAGTCAAAAGTGTCTTTTACGTTACCTCAAAAGCTGCTGAAGCCTTCTTTTCTTTCTTTAACTAATTGTAGATTTTGAATGCAAAATTACATATATCCAGCGAAATTGCATGGAAGGTTAGAAAAATCAATGAGGTTTTCTTGGTAGAAACTGCATGGAAGCATCTATGGTCAATTGTCCGTCTAACAGTAAACCAATTTAACTATAACTTTGTCTTAAAAATGATGGAGATCGTGCATGTAGGACTAGTTCAAAATTTTGTAATTAAATAAAATGAATTTCATGCACAATAAATTATGGCAACGAAGACTTTGAAATATCTTTGGTCAAATCAAAATAAATATATTTTTTTCGAACTTAAATAAATATTTAATTTAAATATAACCATTAATACATGTCAATCAATTATAAAATTAGGGATACTAACACTGCCTTTCCCAATACCAAGTATCAATAATACATAAAAACTTGTGTCTCAATCGTTGATCTCTTGAATTAACATCTGAAAGCCACGTAATAACTCGTTAAGCAAAAATGACGCACTTCGAAACCGTGAAGGTTTCAACAGTTGACCAACACAAAACACTTCTCATATAATTTCTCAACTCCTGAAAAACGATGATTAATTTCGAGTAACGCCATCCTAATTCTATCATATATCATGCAATCTTCTAAAATTTATGATTTGTTACTTTTATATTATGATTTATAACCTAGATAATTTCATATATAAAGATGTTAATAATGATCGTATTTTCCTAAAAGAAACTATTTTGAAATATTCTTTAGTAAGTATCATTTTCAATACTTTATGTCCTTATTAACTACTCTCTTCGCTCCTTATTATAAGAGACATTTGATGCTTATGGCATGTTCCTATATATAAGAGACACTTAAAAGTTGTTTCTACTTTTTTGTGTTGATTTTCTATTTTACCCATATTTGTTATCTCCAACTCACACTCTCTCTCCCTCCCACTTCTCTTTCTTTTAATAATTTAATTGTTCTTTCTCATGCTCTCTCTCCTTATTAATGAGGGCATTTTGAAAAAAAAAATTATACTTTTTATACGTTAATTGTTCTTAACTAATTTTAACTATTTTTTTTATCAACGTACTTCGGTTATTTGTCTTTTATAATAAGGACGGAGGGAGTATTAAGTAAAATTTTTCTCGAGCGTTGTAACTAACTAGTCATTATAAGTAATCCTAACTACTATACGAAAACATAACTCCTATGAAAACTTGGGAAAGAAAGGAGCCCCTTTAATTTCTAGGAGTGATGGTGAGGAGGGGAGAACATTTAATTATTTAAGAAAGATTGGTTCGTTTTCAATAATCTTCTATGTCCCGACCTGAGAGTAAATAGTCATGATAAACGCGCTTGGAACTTCGACCAGATGGTAATATATATGTGAGACAAAGTGATAAACGTATACCTCTAATTAACAGTTCTAATTCAGAATGAAAACCATTAACAATATGGCAGTGTCAAGAGCCTTGCAGGCTGTATATGGGTGGTCGAGCTGTGCTTTCCTTTTGAGTCCAAGCGCCTTCTTCAGCTGGGGTAAGATATCCTTCCAAAAACGAACCCTTTAATTTGATTTGATTTTAAAACATTCATACAATTATAATTAAAATTCATTAATTTAATCTCTTCTGTCCATATACTTTATGCAGGTTTGGTGGTAGGCTACAACGTGGTGGAATATGCATGTGTATCAATTCTGGTAACCTTCTACACACAAGAAGCCATGGAAAATCATCTCGCTGGAGCAGCATCGCTATTGTGTCTGCAAGAAGGCCTCGCTTCCTTCGCAGCTATACTTCTTGTTCGCTTCACCTGTGCAAGATTTGGTCGTCGTTTTTTCGCTCTTGTCGTCTCCACAGTTTCCTATATTGCAGTAAGTCTCTCCACTACTACTGTTTCCTATATTCTAGTCATTTTTATTTAGTACTGATCAGGATATGTGTTATGTTTTGACAGGCAATAATGGTTTTGTGGTCCTTTGCCAGACAAGAACATCAAGAGAAGAACGTGCCTCTTTTCATTGTGATATCTGTGCTTTTCGCATTAGGAAAGGGAGGAGCACATCCACTTCTGAAGTCATTTCTTGAGCATAAGTTATGCGAATGCTATAATATTCGGTCAATAAGAAGCCAGAGCAATAATGAGGAAGAGATGAAGAGAGCAGCAATCTGCAGAATCGTGTGGGTTCAGAGTGCTTGGATTGTTGGAGCCGCCATAGCTATCTTTGGCTTTATGAAACTCCAGTGGGTACAAGTTTTTCACACCTCAGCTATTGTAATGGTATCATCCGGTCTCTTGTTCCTAATTTTTGGCTCCAAAAGTACTGCACGTATAGGTGAATCAGTTCACAAAGATGCCCCCACAGTCCCAAAACGAGTAAGAAACATGAAGTGGCTTATGATGTTTAGCTGCATCGCATACAGCCTAGTCTTGGCTACTGGTAATATTTTCTTTCAAGAACAAGGTACTAAAATGAAAACTCTGAAGATTAAAAAACATACACCGTTGCGGTTTTCTTTCATGATTGTGATAAAGAGCGCGGTGAATGAAATCATCATACTCATATTTGGGTTGTGTGGGGCCAATAAAAAGCAAGGGACCACATTAGTAAGAATAGGCAGTGGAATGGTTTGTGCCATTATATGTTGTGTTATAGCGTGGAAAGTTGAGATTGGTAGAAAGAAAGGGGTGAAAGAGGAGTACCTCATGACGGGTGTGGCATGGTTGTGTCCTCACTATGTTCTTTTAGGACTCGTGGAAGGGCTTGCCCAAAATGGTTTGGAGGAATTGTTGGCTCATGATGATGAGATTGAGACATTAATGAATCCTGGGAGGCTGTCGAAAGACATAGTTTCATGCATTGGTAAGATGTTGGGGATTCCTTGTATTTTGATAGTGAGGATGTGGTTGAAGAACTTCCAGAAGGACGAAGCGCATTTGGATAGGTACTATGTAATGTTGGCAATATTTGCGACTGTGTTTTTCTGCATTTACCTTTGTGTTGCCTTTGTGTATATGAAGCTTGTGCCTCAACATAAAGAACACGAAAGTAACAGTATTGGTACTGCTGAGGTTGGTGATGAGTCTGCGAGAGTTTGAGAGGGTTCTTAGCGTCTGATTATATCTAGTGGTTTGTTACTTAAACTGAAATTGTGTTTACTATGTACTTTGCATTTCCATGTATGTGTGTGTATCAATTGCAACTTGCAAGGATGTTGAATTATGAGAGAAAATTGGTAATTGAAAAGTAAGTATGCGTGTTTATTAGAGTAATCTATACGTTGTATCAAGTTTGGGATCTCATTAGGTGACGTTGTTATTAGAATAATTTGCTATGAGTATAATTAATATGATGTGGAACAATACTATTGAAACAATTTCTCATTAACACTTTAACTGATTAATTAATTATTATATTAAAAATACAAGTCTGTGTACATACAACCTTGCTTCTTAAGGTAAGATCTAATTTGTAATTTAAATTGAAATACAAATTAAATCTTACTACCTCCGGTCCTAATTATAAGAGCCAGTTAACTAATTTGAGGAGATTAAGAAAGTAAGTTGAGTTAGTTATTTATCCTAAATAGGTGTTGTTTTTCCTAAAATATCCTTACTAATCAAATGTATTGATTAGAACTATCATTGTTAGAATGACTACTTTGGAAAATATATATATAAATATGAGAGACAAAGTGGATTGGGGTCTTATATTTAGGATCAAAATAAAAATCAAATAGGATTTTATATTAAAGACCGGAGGTAGTATATTAAGAAGAGAAGATATTATATGAAATGCGAGTAATTTTTTTTCCTTAAAAAAATACCATGCGTGGAAATGGGAGAAACATGTGGAATAGTAAATAATAAACAAAGCAAAACTTGCAACAGAAAATAGAAAATGACAAGCAAAGAAATGGAAGTTCCCAAGTCAAGACTCTTGTCGTCGATCGGCGCTATGGTTGTTTCCAGTTTGCAGAGTCATGTTTACCGAAAGCCGTGCCCAGTTCATGCTTTCCTCGCACCGATCGGAAGAAGCCTCCAAATTTTCACAACCACCATCCCCCTTTCCCTCAAGCTCACACCACACGCACCCTCTCTCTCTTGTCCCTTAGTGATAAGATCTCTCTCACTTGTTCCATATTTAACCAAGCCTAACACTTCCCAGAATGCCTCCATGCTGCCTGAAGAACTGGTTCGAAAATGGAGGTGGAAGATGAAGACGCGAGGATAGATAGGCAACTTATTGAAATTTGTACGGCTAACATCCATGGCAGTCCTCGAGACTACCAAGATCCACCTCCCGCACCGTTTTTTGAGCCCACTGAGTTATCTTCCTGGTCATTCTACCGTGCAGGCATAGCAGAGTTTGTGGCCACCTTCTCGTTCCTTTACATCACAGTTTTAACTGTTATGGGCGGGGCTATGTCGCCGTCCAAATGTTCCACTGTCGGCGTTCAAGGCATTGCTTGGGCATTTGGCGGCATGATCTTTGCTCTTGTTTATTGCACTGCCGGTATCTCGGGTAAGGCCCATCGAACACCAACTGCTTGATGAAATGAATCTTACAGATTTACGTAGACATTTTTATGCTTAATTTACTTGATGGGGGTGTTTAATGCAGGGGGTCACATTAACCCAGCTGTGACATTTGGGCTGTTCTTGGCAAGGAAGGTATCACTGACCAGGGCGGTGTTGTACATAACAATGCAATGCTTGGGAGCTACATGTGGTGTCGCAGTTGTGAAGGGGTTTGAAGGAAGCCAGTATGAGAGGCTTGGAGGGGGTGCCAATAGTCTTAGTGAAGGATACTCCTCAATTAGTGGCCTTGGTGCAGAAATCATCGGCACTTTTGTGCTTGTCTATACTGTCTTCTCAGCCACTGATGCCAAACGAAACGCTCGAGACGCGCACGTCCCTGTAAGCAAAATCTTTTCCTGAAGTTTTGAGTTTGTTTGATAGGTATTATAATTTTGAACATGAAATGAATTCTAATTAAGTTGTGTGTGTCTTTTGTGTGGATAATTGTTAGATCTTGGCACCACTGCCTATTGGGTTTGCTGTGTTTGTGGTGCATTTGGCTACAATTCCTATCACGGGGACTGGGATCAACCCTGCTAGGAGTCTGGGTACAGCACTCGTTTTCAACAAGGATCAAGTTTGGGACGACCATGTGAGTCAGTCTTCTTCTATAATTATTCATTATGTGTGCCAGAGATTAGGATCAAATGGATTTCCTTAAACTCTTCAATTAATGGTATTATATTTGTGGTTCTTGACTTTGGTGCAGTGGATCTTCTGGGTGGGGGCCTTTCCTTGGGGCCGGACTTGCAGCTTTGTATCATGAGATAGTGATGAGGGCCATTCCCTTCAAGCTTAAGTGATGATGCTTTCATGGAATCCATATATACTTGGCCTAATAAAATGGTTGACTCCATAATAACATGATTTAAGTTATCCCTTGTCTTCTGCAACTGATTTCTATTATGTCCCTCACAGAAGCTATGTAATCAAATGCCGAAGCAGAAAGGGGATAGAAGTAAAATGTCCCTTTTATAATTCTTCTCTATATTCCTCTTTCCTCTAAACTTGTTAAGATTTTTTTTTTTTTGGGGCCAGCATTTTTTTTTAGAGATTTACTGATCACAATATTAAATAAAATAAAAAGGAAAAAAAGAAAAAAACAAGTAATCTTGAATTTGGAACCTCTTCATTGGGTCTGAACTTTTAACCCTTGGATTAATATGATGGTCCAAATAAATCCCCAAATATATTGGGCCTTTAGGACTGGGTCTATCACCAGCAGAATTAGACTGTTATGATGTGCCCGGCCCAATTGTTTACCAGTGACTAAATTTTCACAGGGCTCCATTAAAGAGTTGAAAGAAATAAGAAATCAACAAAATTGCTCATAAATTTAAAAAAAAAAAGTTCGTGGCTGAATCTTGTGTGTGTGTGTTTAACAATTATGGAAAAGTTTATAATATTCAAATAGTGCCGTTGTCTGGCCAAACAGTTGAATTATTGGGCAACTTAAGAGTCTAATTATTGATTAAATTGTCAAATAAGCCAAATACATACTTAGATATATATATATATATATACGCACATACCCAAAGATATTATAAACAGTATGATCCGACAATACTCAAGAAACCTACCTAACATATATTTTTTCCTGGTCTTGCAAACATCTATGACTTGCACCACAAGGTGACAGAGTTGGTAACTTGGTATCTTGTCTCTTCTTTTTCCATGGCAGATTTAGAACATAATGTTGTTGAAGTTGAAAAAAATGTTGTCAAAATCAGCCACGACACTTATTCTTTTTTGTTGTTCCTAATTCTATTTTTTTAACGGCGATGCTTCCCGTTATTATAATATTAATTAATCTCAACTGCCCTATAAGTTTCTACGCAGATTTAACCCCTTTTCGTAATCTAAATTAAATTTGAAGTAAAAATAAGTTAACAATCACACGCATGTATCATCATTAAATATTTTCATGCCATTTTAGCTCTTCAGCAGTAAAAATAATAATGACCCACGTGAGGCTCAGGTTCCGCAATAATACAAAGGTAGGTTATTTAATTTTAGTAGTTCCCTTAGCATGTTACATTCCCTCATGTCTTACTATTTCTGAAGCATTTGGAAGAGGGGTTTTATTAATTCCTTTTCACCACATCGATTATTGATTGCAATTTTTATTTTTTACTCCTATACAATATTAATGTGGGTAAGTAGGAATTTTTTTAAAAGATGCAATTAATATGGGCAAAATAAAAAAAAATTATTCAATTTTTAGATAAGAGTTAAAAAATTTGAAGTTTTTTAATTATGATAATAAATACTGAAAATAATTCATAAACAGGATAAGACGGACTGACAAAGTATAATTAAGTTTAAACCACAATTATTTTAAAGCAGATAAAGAATTTTTAATTCCAGTCCCCTTTCAGGTTATAAGAAAATATCTAATTGACCCCCTTGACTATCCCGTCTTTTCTTTTTCTTTTTTTTTTTTTGAAAAAAAGAAAAGAAAAAACCTAATTAGATCCGCCGGACAAGTTTGATTTTAATGAAGTTGAACACATTTTACATATTCGTTTTGATAGTGTTGTTGATATGCTAATCATATAGAAATTGAGAATAATTCTGAAAACTAAAAAATTGCATTTATAATTAAATGCATTTTCTCTTGTATTTGCGGGCCGGGACTTTGACAACAATAAATATTCTTGTTTATAACTTAATCCCTCCATTTCAAATTATAAGACAGTTTAAAAGTTTTTAAATATTTCATGAAATACTATATTATATTTGGAGAAAAATATGATTTCATAAACGAACTTATTCTAAAATTGCCCACTATAAGAGTAATAATTAAGTGCGAGTTTGGATAGGATTTATATTAATCGGAAGGTATTCTTAAAAATTTATTTTTACTTTCGGAGAGACTAAGATTTCAAATTATATTTAATGAATTTCATTGGCATGCATGTAATTTTGCCCAAAAATGTCATAATATCAAACCGATCTGGCATTAACAATACAACTCAATGTAAATTCCATTTTACAGTGTATTTGAAAAATTATTTCAAACCCTCTGAATGCCGTTTTCTCGTAAGCTCTCAACGGAGTTCCAGACACATGTTTATATATATTGACAAGTTAATACCAATCCCCTTTTAGCTTATCGTAAAAAAAAAAAAAGAACAATTATATTAATACATGATTTTTATTCCCACTGTCATTATCCCCAGTTTACCTATGTTTGGGACAACTTTAATTAGTTCATGTCCATTATCATCATGCTAATAACCTTCTTATTATTGCGATCAGGGCGACAATACAAATAAAACTGGGTGAACATAGTAATTAAAAGCAAAAATTGATCAAGAAAATGACAGAGTAATGGAGTAATACATTTACATCTATCTATGTCTACATATATATATATATATCAATCGATGTCATATTTAATAGCCAATAACATTTAATCACCGAAAAGTTATGAATAAAAATGGATAGAAAGCCACACAATTAAACTCGCTTTTGTTACCATGTTAATTAAAAAAATGTGGCTAATTAAATAAATATAATAATAGCGAGCACATGGAATTAGCTGAAGAGAATGAATCGATCAAAACTTGTGAGAGATACTTTGGCATTGAAAGTAGTAAGCGTGATGAAACCGTGTGAGAGAAGAAGCTATTCACGTTGTGATCAATAAATGCCTCAAACTCAGAAAGTCCAACCTAATGGTTAGGTAGGACTACAGACACACACACACACACACAAGATATGAGAATTTTCAGAGCTGTAATATTGAAGTTTTCCAAACTTGTGTACTTTAATTTGTTTGGATTGCGAAGCACGGTGGTGGACTTCGATCATAATTAATGTTGAACTCATCAAGCTTCCTAAGTTTGGTGTGAGACGGCCATTTATTATAAGCCCTCCTACACTATAGATTGATTATGCAACATTATTGTGTGGCCCTCCTCTTACTTCTTCTCTTTGTGGTACCAACACAATTTGAACTTGCCACCTCCAACTTAATATCACACACTGTATTATATGCACTTTATCACGAAATTGTGTCCTTCTTTGTGCTCTATTCTTCTCGGCTTTTTTTTTTTTATTGACTTGTGAATTTGTTAGTTTTATTATGTATTCCCACCGATTTGTATTATACGCATATTCTAATTAAGAGAAATAGATTAATCACTATTAATTATGTTTTTTTAGAATTACTCCCATTTAAAATTTTATCAATTGCGACTTCCCTCTGTCTTGAACGTGATTTAGGGTCCTTATAATGTAGAAGTTAGCTAGTTAGAGAGTTTTTTTTTTTAATCCTAAATTTAAGAAATTAGTTCATGTTATATTTCATGTTTATTATTATTTTTAAATTAACTTATCTAATTTATAAACTGATATAATTTAACGTTACATAAAAAGACAATTTAGAGAGATTACGTCACATTCATTAGAATTAAGCAATTTAGTTAACTTTTTTAAATCTATTCAGGTCAAACAATGAGTTCTCAGATTAATGACTGAATGGGTATTAAATATTGGTAAATTTTTTTAAACAAATTCATTTTCAGGTAAAAATTAATGACTCATTTATCATTTCTCTGTAGTTTTGATGATGAGGTGATTAAAACTTAAAAGTGCCTTGTAATGAGAATCGAAAGGAGTGCTTTGATCTGGCTTAAATCTTGATAGCTAGCATTGAATACGCATCGTATCAATCTGATACTAATAATTAATTAGGTTTTTTTTTCAGAGATAATTAATTAAGATGAAATAATGAACTTTGCTCCAGCTTTCTTGTCAGTCCTTAAAACGATATATTTCGTGTGTGTCAAATCAAAATCATTAGCAGGGTCGAAGGTTAGAGTCATAAATTAAATAGATTTAAATAAAGCAGTGTGTCTTGATTTGTGGATTTTTTGTTTGACACGTGTGCATTATTTGTGTCCCTTAATTTGAAGAGCTTCAGATTAATGAGAAAATTACATATATCAAACCTTGATTAATGATTCAACAGTCACCACACACACACACAAGGTTGCTTTCTACACATAAATATATTACATACAATTTCATATCAAGTTATAAGCAGGTCGTTTTCTATATTGAAATTTGTCATTGCATAATATCCACTTGTTGCGAAAATTTTAGTGATTATATATATTGCTCATATGAAACTGCACAGTGATTTCCTTTTTTTAAAAAAAAAACTTTTGGCATCTCCCACGAAATTGAATTTGAATACACACTACAAAATTACTACATGACCACTAATTAAAGTTGGTTTCTTAGCCCTAAATAACTGCTACTTCGTTTAAATAATTCAATTAATGTGTAATTAGCTACCTAGGTCAAGGATGAAAGAGAAAGACGGGAGGGATGGGATTGGTGGTTTTGAAAACTGAGAAGACGTGAATATAGATTTGGTCGGAAGAATTAATGGTGTGATTAAGGACGAATGAAAAGACGTAAACAATTAATCCAAAACCGACTAAACAGGTGAAGATCCACAAGTAGTGAAAAGGGGCGTGTCTCCCTTGACCTCATCTTGCCCCCATGAGAGCCATGCCCTCTCTTCACGTCTTTATTTGATGTCTACATCTGTTAACGTCTTCACCGAAAGTTCAAAATCCCCCCAAAGATAAAGACGGCTTCTTTATCTCTCTCCATTGCTCAAAAACAAAAAAGTTGACCTAATTAAGTTGGTAGCAGGCACAATAATATCCCTGCAAAATCAAAGACTTTAAAAGTATCTACATGCATGCTTACATACATACCGTTTATTCACCAACGAAACTATCATGC